CTTAATTTGACATGAATCGTGCAAGAACAAGCTCAATTCATAAGCAAAGAGGGTAATTACTCTACCTTAGGTCTTGAATTAGTAAGTACTAGGAGCTCAATTTAGCAATCTACACTTCAAATTCTTCAAATTCTAAGCCAATCATTAGAATGAACTCAACTCCTCAAGTCCTCTCTCTCTCATGGTCGGCTAGGTCCACAAATAGGCTAAGAAATGTTTGATCAATGTAATAAGGCTCAAGTGTGTGTGTGAATAGTGGTCCACTAGGGGTAGTTCGGTAAATAAGGCCAACTCTGCATATGATCTAATGTAATTTAATCTAATTTAATCATACCTAATCAGTTTTCAGATAATTATACCATAAAATCATATTAAATATGACAATCATAAAACACTTACCCATTTCCGGTTCGGCCGCCGATAAGGCCTTCAATTAATAGTTTAAACGTAACACACGAACAGATCAAACAAACAGTCAACAGATAAAATGCAATTCAAACAGATGTATTCACTCAATTCAGTTTCAATTTCGGTCAGTCAGTTCAGTACTTTAATCAGTTCAATTCTCAGTCAGTTATCAGTCATTATCAGTTCCGTTTAACAGTAATCGGTGATTATCGGTAATCAATCAGTCATTAATCAGTAAACAGTATGAGGGTTGTTACAAAAGATCATACCTATATGCCATGAGGTGCCTTTCTTTTATAGATGAGGGGTGGGCCGAATAAGCCCAATAGTTGGCCTCTTGGCAGGCTTTGTTTGGGTTAGCCCAATAAGTCGATATATATTATTTTCTGCCTCCCACAATTACCCCAAAACTTTCATTGTTTTTGGTAGAAGTAATGAGAGTTTTTCTTGCCAAGTTACGCTGTTCAAATATCTGTTAGGTTTTTTGATAAAGAACACTCTAGATAAATGAATAAAATGTATGAATGAATGACTGCATGTATGCTTGAATGTATGCATGTACGTATGTCTTGAATGTATGTATAAATATACATGTGTCTATCATAGGATGAAATTATATCACATGAGTTCCAAACAAATCATAGTGATGGGCCACGGTATTGTTTCTCCCAAGCAAGGGCTGTAGGCCGTGGTATTATGACCCCCGAGCGAGGGTGTAGTATATTGTCGAGTGCAAAGAGCACTTTAAAATATGGACATTCGTGCCAAGCTAGTGATATTTCTATGTACCATGCACGAAAATGATTACCTGAACCAAATAATGTAGATTAAGTAAGGTAGATATATCAGCCATAAAATGGACCACGGTATTATTACCCCCGGGCGAGGGTGTAGGCTTGCGTTGATGGCGCTCCGTGTCGAATGCGAAGATTACGCTGTATTCAGAGACTTTTACTAATTTTAAGTGGCGATCAAGCGCTAATATTGCAAGGATTTTGGATAATGCATTCTGTACCGAATAAGGTGGATGGGTTAATCATCAATAATATTGCTCCTCTTGTAAGGAATTGCCAAGTAGATATTCGGCCAACTATTTAATTGCCGAGTTGCTCGGTTTGCGTTTTGCTCGGTTTGCGTTTAGTCCAAGGTAGACTTGCCCCATTGCTTTTAAATGACAAGTGTTAGTCGGAAGGAATGCAGATTCCTATTGCCCTATGTTGCAGGGAAGATTCAGCTTTGGTAAAATGACGACGCACAAAAATATGAAAACTATCGACTACCAAGTGTGTGATGTATTGCCCCAAAACTAGCGCTTGCTTGGGGCGGTGTGAAAAGGAGCTGGAGTGTGTAACTCAAGTAAATGTCATTGCAATGTTTGTACTAAGTTGGCCGAGTATGCATGCATATCAAAGGTGCCGAGATGATGATCAGCTGATATGCCCTAATTGGAAAGCGGAAAACTGACTAATATATCCCAGTGGGCAATTGTTGTGCCAAAGAATGTTGTTAGGTGAGTAAAGTTGATGCACTGCCGAGTAACTAGTGTCAAAACATCGGTGTCCATTTCATATATGATGTGATTTTGCCGAAAAGTTGGTCAGTTACACTTGGGTCGGTGATTGTGTAGATCTTTTGGTCGGCGATTTTTCTTAGCTTCGCGGTGTGTCGGCATCCTTTCGGAGTTGGATTTGCTAAGAACTTGGTTGGCAATGGTTGCCAATTTATTGAAGTTGAGTTTCTTGTCCAACGTATATTTGCCCCATTGCTTTTGAATATGATTCGTTACTCAGACGGAATAAAATTAACTTGGGCCAAAATTGCCGAGTAGGTCGATAACAATTTGAAACAGATTTCGTGCCCCTGTTCGGTGTCCTGGCGATATCGAAATGAAGCCGAGACAAAGTAGGGTGCTTGGTGATATTCGAAGTGAGAGCCATTGTGCTCAATTCTTTAAATAAAATTTGTATTTTTTTTTTTTTAGTTGAATTTGAAAATTTTGTCCATACGGATGGGCCCGAAATGCATCAAATAATTAGAAACGAACATTGGATCATTGGAATAGGACCCTTGAGGGTGAAAGTGCAGCCAAAAATAGATCAGACGGCTCAAATTGGTGAAGAATTGAGCTTCGCAAAGCACTGGATAAGTTCTCGGCTTGGCTTGGTGGCTTTGGCAAAAAATAAAAAATATAGAAAGATGGTGCCAATAAGACTAGAACCCTTGCCTTTGGAAGGAAAAAAGAGTATTGAACCATTATACCAAGACAAAGCCTTATGTTTGTATTCAACAAAGTTTATATTTGAATGTGATTGTTCAGCTATTATGGGATGTAGCTTAGCCACGATGCACTGAATAATTTCTTTTGTTTTCCATGCAAACTCTGGACGTCTTATTCGGCAAAATATGTGATTTTCTGGGAAAATTTCAATTGGCTCGTACGACTTCGTTTTAGCTCCGATTTCGATGCGGTTTGTTGTGTTGGACTCGTCTCGATAAGTACTTCACATTGGTATAATCAAAACTTGATTTTGAAAATGTTGAAAATTGCATTTTTTTTTGTTGAAAATATGGGCTATTGCGCAACTATCGGCAAGCGCCGGTTACTTTTTTGCTCCTTTGGTTAGTGGCTTTGGACTCTTTGAGTCGACGCGAATCCTCTAGTATTGTTAGATGTGGATTTCGGTAAGCCAAGGTGCTAGTTTTATGCCGAGATCATAGTGTGAAACAAGTTGTCCATGCTAGATAAAATACGAAATTAATATTAATTTGCTCTTGATAATATGCCGAATGATATGCCGAACTGCAGCAGTAATATGCCGAATAAGTTGTGAATTGATAATATGCCGGTTCGGAGCGTTGCTAATATGCCGAGTAAGTTGCCGAATAAGCTGAATAAGTTGTCCAAGGTGAGTTGATAACATGCAGAGTATGCAGTTGATAATATGTAAATAAAACTTGCCGAATAAGCAAATAAGTTGCCGAAATGCTGTTGATAATATGCAGAATAAAAGTTGCCGAATAATTATTAAGGGTCTCACTTTGGTCCAGTCCACCATCGGACTAGACTGTGCTGTTGGGCGGGCTCGTGGGGGCCCACCACGGGTCCCGTTTTGAAAATCTGAACCGTTTAATGTGTAGAACTCTTCGAGTACTATATATCTATAAAAAATCACGTTTATCGGATATCGATAGCTATGTGATCAAATCAGTTTTGTATAAAAAAAAATGGACGGTGAATAAATTAACGGTTGACAAAAAACTAATTTGATCACATAGCTATCAATATCCGATCAACGTGATTTTTTACAGGTATATAGTACTCGAAGAGTTCTACACATTGACGGTTCAGATTTTCAAAACGGGACCCGTGGTGGGCCCCCACTGGTCCAACAGCATGGTCCAGTCCGATGGTGGACTGGACCAAAGCCAGACCCAATTATTAATAATGTGTCAAATAAAAGTTGCCGAAGAGGTTGTTGAAACTCGTTGGTAATATGCCGAATAAAATTTGCCGAATAAGTTGTCGAAGAGGTTGTTGAAACTCGTCGATAATATGCCGAATAAAAGTTGCTGAATACGCCGAATAAGTTGTCGAAGTGGAGTTGATAACATGCAGAATGTGCAGTCCATATGCAAATAACAATTGCTGAATAAAAGTTGCAAATAACAATTGCCAAATAAAAGTTGTCGAATAAGGCTAACAACGGGTATGGTTACCGAAACAACATAGATACAAATCTTTATTAAGGAAGGATACTAGCCATTTGTGTCTTAGTTGGGGAGCCACAAAACGTAATTCCTTAATTCAATAACATGTATATCTTAAAAATCAATTTTAAAATAAACTCTTGTAAAGAAATAAATAAATAAACAATGCTAGAAATGGGTTCGGCTTATCAACCGTTTGTATAATGCCGAAAAGAAACTCCCACAAACAAAAGTGTGAAACCCAGTTTTAGAGAGAGAAAGTGGAAATGCTCAAGTAGCTTTAGGAGCACTGCTTTGTAAATGATTGATTAATTAAAAATGTATCTAAATGTATAAAAAAAAAAGAAGCTATAAGTGGGGCAAAAAATTGATCAAGAATATGTTACATACTCGGCCATTGTAGTGGGCAAAAATTGATATTCAAACAACAACCCACCACAACTGGTATTATAGATACTATAGATACAGAATCAAGTTGAAGTAGAATGAAAGAGACCCCCTTTTTTACGTGTTGGCTGTCGGCTACCTAACACACAACCCTCCTCCTTAACCCGGGCTTGGGACCGGCGGAGTTGTTAACAACCCCGGCGGAGTTAAAAACAATAAAAATAAAAGCTATATTTTAATCATTTTCCCCTTATGTTTGGTATTTTCCAACAAAAAAGAGAGAGAAGGCATTGATCTAAAACTTATCCTTCCCTTTCATTGATTTGAGCAAATAAGCTTGATTAATTCCATTTTGTTACTATTTATACAAGTCAAAATAAATCAAATTTAAATTTTATTTATTATTTATTTTTCAAACATGATTGACTATAAAGCAAGTACAGCTATTAAAAGACACTTAAATTTTGAAACGATATGAATTGTGCTAATCAAACGAGTTAAGCTTATTTCTACTTAATACATTCAATACTGATAGCAGAAAACATCAAAATTGACTCTGGCACTGATGGGCAGTTATTATCAGTTTGTCTACAAACCTTCCTAATAATGAAAGAATCAAAACAACTTCTAATTCCTCGTGTATCTTTAACAATAATAGCTATCTAGTGTCCAGTCTATCACCATTTTGCAAAACTTGAACAAAAACCTTTTTGAGTCAAATAGGACCTCCACACACTTGTAGCCTTGGGAGATGCAGAACTTAATGGCTTTAAGGCAAGCTCTGTCTTCATCTACCATGGGAGATTGGGCAATTAATATTTCCATGGCTATCCAACACCCAAGCTATCCCAGCATATATTGAAACGCATCTTCCAAGCAACCATCCAGTAGAACCAGCAATGGAGAATCACATCTCAGCTTCTTTTGGGGAGTCCTTGCAACAAAAATGGGATTTGGCTTTATTCCCTGCTTTTGCTAGTCCTCGGACCAATCTGACAACATGAACAAAGAGCACCCCCCTTGCTTGGACTTGGCTGAGAAAGCAAAGCAAATTACTGTATCCAAAATGCACCTCTGCATATTTGATCAAAATAATTATATATATATAAATTAAATGCAGCACAGAATTTCATCTTAGCTTGAAGGCAACTATTTTTTTAAACTTTCCCACATTGCTGGACCTTCTGGATCTATATTTACAAAATACTTTACAAATCGTGCATCTGAACATGCAAGGATTGTACTCAAGGACAATGTTTGCTTTGCTGCACCTCTCTCCCTCAGCCACACATACATCGCAAATCTAAGGTTTATTCTGTCCATATCATAACACAAGTATGATGGAAATGCCACAACAGATTCCAGTGGGTAGTCCAGGCAGTTTCTCAAACAATGGATCTTCTTCTCAAGCACATCTTTGGTCTGGTTTAGCACAGACGGAGCTTGTTTGATCATATTTGCTACAACATTGCAGTCCAACCCGGCCTGTACCAGACAATCAAACCTCTCCTGTAACTGATCACCTCTGCCCCGGAAAAGTTTCAGAGCTTTTGTCATCTCGTCCGAGTTCTCAACATAACCTAATCTGCGCAAGAATGTTGTCTTCTTCAGAAAATTATGTTGGTTTTGAGAAGATAACTGTTCTATGCCCTTGGAAACTGATTTAGAAGCCAAACTGAAGAACTTCGAAGGATCTTCCTTTATAATTTGACATAAACTACCTTTCTCAACCTTCAAATTTTTCATTACAGTTTTGGGTTGTTGCAGAGTGCGTGAACTCAGCAGTTGCACGTTAGTAGCTATGATATTTGCGATGTCTCCAGTTTCCATTCCTATATCAAACAGAAAACACACAGCTTGCCATAGATTCTTGGCACACTTAACTGATAGAATTTGAGAATTTTGTAAGAACAAATAGTAAATTTCATTCATCTTGAGACCTAATTTGAGTAACATGCCAACCAATATATAGATTCTTTTCCCAGATCCTTCAAACAGTAACGCAGGATACGTTTTAAACAAAATCCCCATTTGTGTCTCACCATAACCAACTTCACCAAGAAAGCCAATTGTGTCGAGCATTCTGTTCCAATTGTAAGTGGTTTTGCCGGATATATACCCTCCAATCCAATCATTTCCAAATCCCAATGCTTTCAACTTCTCAAGAACTGCAACAAATTCATTGTTAACACCACCAACCAGAAGCGAAGGGCAACAACTAGCAAGCTTAATAACCGTGGATCTGGTCAATCCTAGTTCTTCGTAAGCCCTAAGTTTTGAAACCAATACCCCAGAGTCGTATCTGAATATCTCATTTGCTTCCTTGTATATCTTACCAATCTTAGTACGAGGAATCCCATAATTGCAAAGGACGTGGAAGTTCTCGAGCATGATTTCATCATCACTCAAAAACATCAAGCTCTGAGGAAGAAGAGATATGAGCTCGGATGGAGCCAAACCCAAGCTCTCCAGAAAGGGCTCAAACTCATTAATGGGATTGTATCGAAGGAATTTTGACAAAGCCCTTGACACATCTTGGTCATTTTCAACCTTGGAGAGCAAGCCGTGAAGAAAATGGGGTGAGTTCTTGCTAATGTGCTCTGCATCAGTGAAGTGGAAGCATCTAGTACAATGCAAGTAATCAAAGAGTGCATCTTGCGCCACGGACCGCGCAATACGAGAAATGCGGCTGGTAGGAAGAGGAAGGGGTGACTGAGTTGGGTCAGCAAGAGAGAGTTTGGGATTTTGGGCAGTCCTATGACTGCTAAAGCATCTAATTCTGAGAGGCGTGAAATGGATAGTACAAGGGTTTTCAGGAACAACAGAAGAGACAAACAAATGGCTGAATTGTTGGCAAATCATTTTAGAAACACGAATATAAGATTTCCTTTTACTGATTCTGCATATAAACATGGCAATTTATGGAGTGAGAGTGAAATGAACTGGGGGATATAAAACAAAAACCCGGAAATCTTTGAGGATTATTCATATAACACAACTACATAGATGAATTGAAAAGCAAAAAAAAAAAAACGAAGAAATGTTTTGAAGTCAATGCAAGTATGAGAAACAATCGGATGAGTTTGGGGTTTCAGATACCTCTGATTTTATGGAACTCTCAACCTTTCTTTCTTCTTTTGATCGGACATAACAAAAATGATCAGTCTTTGAGAGCATCTGCGTCTAGCGTAACTCAGAGAGAGAGAGAGAGAGAGAGAGAGAGAGAGATTTCCGGCTAAAACCCTACGAGGGGAGGGTTTACTTTATTTATAGCCTGAACAGTGATCTAACCAAGTTTGTTCAGCCGATTAGATTTGTTTAGCCGATTAAGGTGGAAGACAATATTAGGAAGAGGATGGTTAATAAAGAAATTATTAATGTACAAATTATGAGTGGGATAATTAAAAAAAAATGTATTTATTTTGAGGAAAAGGAGTTGAATCTTACTTTTGGAAATTTCATGACTTTAAAATAATCTAAATCGTTCACATATTTTTTTTTTTCTTTTTATTTCTTAGTTTGAATGGTCTAAATCATTTTCTTATCTCTAAATTTGAAAGTCTCAATCATTATTATTATTTTAATAATAGTATGAGAGACAATTAATGATAAAATTATTAAATTTTTTTTATATAAAATAAATTAAAAAATTATTTCTTTATTAAAAAATATTAAAACAAATATTAAAATAAATAAATATATTTAGTAAAATAAATAAAATTAAATCATTTATTAAAATTAAATAAATATTCTTATATAAAATAAATTTAAATCATTTATTATTTTTCTAATCTCATTTAAAATATATCCACTTTAATCCACCCACAAAGTGTAAGTAGTAATCCACTTGGAATCTTAATCCTCCAATGTATTCCCAAACCACAAATGTTATTAGTGGACCCACCTCATAGACAATCCATTCATATCCTTTACCCTGCCAAACAAAGTCCTTGGAGTGAAACGCCCTCAGTCCAACGCGTGACTTACTGAGATTGAAAGATATCAAAACCATGTCGTTTTATGGAAGGGAACAAAAAAGAGATGGAAAAAAATAAAATAAATTACATTAACGATCCCTATAATTTGAGTCTTGTGTTATTGTGATCTTTGACTTTTTAATTGTGACACATTTGATTCTGAATTTTAAATCTTATTTCAAATAAAGACAATTAAAAATACTATTATTCAATTTTAAGGACAGAATTATCAATTTGATAAAATATAAACTAATTTGATAAAAGTAAATATAAAAAAAAAATTAGATAGCGTTTGGTAGAATTTTCTAAATATGATTTAAAAATAAAGTTGTATTTTGAGTTTGTGAGTTTTGAATTATGATTTGAGTGTAGAAAATTTGTTTAGTTATGATTTTTGAATTGAGTTTTGAAAGTTTGATGTGACATGTGAAATAAGAAAATTTATTTGGTGAAAAGATATAACTCATAATAAAAAACACAACTCAAAATTCTCTTGAAATTTTTGATCAACAGTCATAATCAAATTCTTTTTTAAATTCAATTAAAAAAATTAATTATTAACAAAAAAAACAATATTAACCAAACTCTTTTTAAAATTCAATTGAAAAAAATTAATGATTAACAAAAAATAGTAGTCATGCCCAAATTTTTTTCAAATTCAACTCAAAAAATTAATTATTAACAAAAATTTAAAAATAAAAAATTTTGTATTGAAAATATTATAAACAAAATAATTTGAAGGTTACAATAAATATTCAATTACTGATCAAACCCAACTTATGATTGTATATTTGATTCGAATTATGTTTTTTTCAATATTTTTCAGTTCAAATATTTTTATATTTTTAATAATTACTGTTACCAATTATTTGCTAGTTATTATAATGTTATTTTTAAATAAATGGCCACAAAATTTATTAATATTATATATATTGGGAGTTAAACAAAAATTAAAATATCATTTGATTAGTATCTACACAGTTTATCGCACATAATTCAATATTATTGGAATTTTTTTATTTGTTAAATTTTATCACTTTCATGAAAAATCTATGAACCTATACCGTCTTCATCTTCATTATTGTGCCTCACCCGTGAACTTCTGTACCATCTATATTATAGCTTCTGTACCGTCTATATTATTGTGCCTGTCGATTGATGTATTTGGCATTGAAATGACTAAATTGTCCCTGTGTTATGGAATGCTAAATTCGTATGTTAGTAAAAAATAAAAAGGGCAAAATCGTAAAATTATTCCTGTTCTTCAGAGCCACTGCTCTTCTGGAAAACCTCAGTTGGTTAGTTTTTAATAAAAAATAAAATAAAAAACTCAGCTACAGATTTTTTGGCCATTTGTTTGCCTGAGGCTTTATTTTAGTGAGCACATCCAACAACTTCACTTCACAACTTTCAACAACTTCTTCACCATTTTCATTCTAACAACTTCATTACTTCACAACTGTCACGACCCAAACCTGCCCCTATAGGTTTAGCGTCGTAACCGGCCAGTAATCCTTGGATTACCGAAGGCCTCTGACCTGATTATGAAATACGAGGAGCTACGGAAGCAAATATATAAAAATACATTGTCCATAGAGCTATGTTGACCTATATGAGACATAAATCTTCAAAACAAACTTAAATATACATGTAACATCATAAATACATTAGTCTTACGTCACCTATTTACACAGATAAAACCAAAAGGGGACTTAGCCCAATGTACAGATAAGCAAAACAAACAAAAACATCTGTAGCAAAGTTACAAAACTTGACATCTCAAAAGGGAACCTCCCTGGAAGGCACAGTGGTTGGCTGACCCAAAATTCTCGGCAGCAAGCTTAAGCCTGGTCACACGCCTGCTCACTTACATACATAATATAAACAGTGAGCGAAACCCCAGCGAATAATAACAAAGTAAAGGTTTTAGTGAACGATGTCTGGAACATATTTCAAATCTCTAATCATATCGGAACATAGTCATGTTTGTATTAAAAACAAAGTCATATTCATGTTCGTATTCAACTCATGTGTGGTACATCCATTAGCATTAGCATATCTCTTTGGTCAAACATATCAAGTTTCATAATGGAACCTCCGGTACCGGGTAACATATCTCATATATGGGCCACGGTATTATTCCCCTGGGCGAGGGCCTGGGCCACAGTATTATTCCTCTAGGCGAGGGCCTCACGACCATAAGTCACAGTACTATTTTTCCTGGGTGAGGGCCTCTACTAAGGATACCATCACAAATACTATTAAAAAATATGGATTATCATTCATGGCTTCCCAAAATAGCCTTTTTAGAAGCATTTCACATCGTACCATAATATTCAGAAAGTATTTTTCATATCAAACATAGTTTTACTAAGTTATTACTCATAGATTGTTGTACAGCTCGCTCACCAACCAACGGATCAACAGCTTACGACGCGTGACCTATATAAACATAACAGATACACATCTTGAAACACACGCCCGGATCGTACTTAACTTAATTCGTTTCATTCTTAGAGTGTTTCTAGTCTTTATCCTTCATATTGTGTCTTAATCTTGGCTTAGGAATGTCTAGGATGCAATGTGGATGCTAGAATACATTTGAGAACACTTGATCAAAAACGTTGGAAGTAGGGGTCCCGTTTGAGCGCAACTTCTTTCGCTTGAGCGGACATGCAAAATGTGAGTGGTCGCTCGAGCGCAACTTCCTTCGCTCAAACGGTCTGTAAACTTTGAAAAAGTTCTAGTTGTGTGAATTCTCCGCTCAATGGTCGCTCGAACGTGAGACTCAGGTCCTCGCTCGAGCGCAACTCTTGTCGCTCGAGCAGTCTACAAAACATGGAAACTTCTGGAAGCTTGCATTTCACGCTCGAGCGAACTTCTGGTCGCTCGAGCGGAAGTGTAAGATCACAGACTGATCACTCAAGCGCAGGATCTTCCATTCGAGCGGAGAGGTCGAATTCTGGAATTTCCAGATTCGCCTCCAAGCTGCAAAACTCGAATTCAATGAATCAAAACTCATCTTTTTGGGCCAAAAACTTAAAGATGAATGTATGAACTTAGAAAACATTGGGAATTCTAAATCATTTCGCAAAATCAAAGCCCAAAAGCTTGCCAATTGCTTAAAACTCAACTCAATCCATAGAAAACATAACATGCAAGTAATGCCTTGACTTTGAAACTTCCAAAACATGATCTAATGACACAAAATGACATGAAACTTGATGAATTCCCAAAACTAAAGTGAATTAGTAACATGCATGAGGAAATTATTGGGGAAAACAACTTCAAAATGCTATGAATATGCATGCATGCATGGTTTAAGTTCATTTCCCTAATTCTAGCTAAATTCTCAAGTTAATTCACTTATCTCACTTGATTCCGTGCATTAACCAACTAAATTTCAAAGTTAGAAGCTTGATTTCTGTGGGGGCTGAATAATTATATATTGAGGAAGGCCAAGATATTTGAAGACATCTGGCCGAATTCAATTCAGCTATAATCTAAGGGCTCTTGAAGCCAAATGTACAGTCGGCCATATGGAGAGCCGAATGGGAACCAGGACGCAATCAGAAGGCCGAGTAAGCAAACAAGTACGAGATTAAGAGTGGGCCTGACCCTTGGGCCCAAAGGGTAATATAAAAAGAGGAACGTCAACCAAAGAGAGGTATGTGAGAATAGATAAAATAACTTGAGATAGAAGAAAACTTGAGAACATACTAACTTGTCCATCAGAGTGCTAATTCCGGTGCTCCCGACCGGAGTGTTCACCCATTTTTTAGGTAGCAATTAGAGGATCAAGGACATCTGACTGGATCCTGGAGTATTTCTAAACCACTTCTCCACAATTGGCGTCGTCTGTGGGAATACTCAAGTACATCCATAGCGAGCATACCAGATGATCCTCTGGTAGTCGCTGATGACATTACACCAAGAGATGACATCATTCCAAGAAACATGCTTGGACCGGAGAATATCACTGCGCGATGGGCCTTGAACTTTGACTCAATAGCCTAGACCTCACCCTCAACTTCGGTGCAAGACACAATGCAGACAATTATAGATCAATCAAGCAAAGCAAAATGAACAGCGTTTGAAAAACATAATGGCTGAGAACGAGCACCTGCGCCAGGAGTTGGCCTTGGAGCTAGCCAAATCCTAGCAGGCCACATGCCATGACTGGGGTCAACCCTTAGGAAAGAAGGATGATTGACAATGTTGACTTCAGAAACACGATAATGATAGTGATTCTGACTCACCATCCCAGGAACCCAAAAAGAAAGGACGAGTCGATGTATCCAGCTCATCCGAAGGAAGTCCGTATGTACGGCACAAGCGAAGGAAAATAAGTGA